TTGTATGTCTGGTGCATGTGAAGTAACTGACAATAAAGCTGACTTTGACTTTGACTCCAAAGGTAAAGTCTAACATCTCTATCGCCCCCTGGTAGCTGACTGCAGTACAGGCCATGAAGCATGTTGCCTCAATGTTAGCAGATGGGACATGAGCCAAACACACATTTTTCCCAAAGATGGTTTCTAGTGGTTCTCATCACGCTGATCATTCAAGTGTATATTTTTGTGAACATTTTGCGGGGTGTGAACTTTTTTTTTTAGCTTCTGAATGGGGCATGCCATAAAAACCACTGCCCTAGGCCAACATGGCGCCCTGATAATGCTAATTTATAGCACTCTCAATGACTTCGTACTCTGATAGCTTGGTGACTCATTGCCATTGAAAACTGGAATTATCCTTTAAATCCTTTAATCTCCTTCGGTAGCTGGAGAAGCACATGTGAAAATATATTTTTTCCATCTTGCTTGAGGGTAGGTTTTATAAAAAGCCGCACTACAATAAAAAACGATATATATGAGAATACTTCTCAGTTGCGATGTATATTGTGAAATTCTGTTTGCTTCTTGCTTTTAGGAGAACCAAAATCAACATTTGTATGTCTCTGCATAACTGGTCAAATGTGCTTTTATCTTCTTCTGCAGCTTTAAAATCTGGTTACGCTGTCAGTAACCTACATTTCATTTTGAAATATGTATGACATGTAAAGGGCCCACTTTATCACATGTAACATTTATAGAGAACACGCAGAGTTAAGTTTTCAATCACTTATGAATAGCTGTGGGATCCCGAACCTTCATTTTGGATCTTAATATAATGCAATGAAATGCAGCCTGTGCTTTTAGCAGTGAGCCACATTATTTAACACTTCTGTAGTAGTCTACATTCGACCTCAGCAGGGACCTTCAATGCATCTTTAATGAGTTTAATCTTCCATCAGTGAAAATAATCACTTTCAAGAAACTTGCAATTTGTCTTACATGAGTCATTTATAAATCATAGCTGACTTAATTCCAACACAGCATAAATGTGAAGATACACATTAAAGAGAATCAGAAAATAGCTCTCATTTGTTCCACATGGCAATATTCTATTAAAAATAAAACTGAACATTTTTTAAAAGTTAATTTATTACAGTAAGTATTGGTCAAAGTTGTGTGTGCACACTTTCATTTTTTTGCATACATATATATTAAAAAAAAATCTGACGTTATTGTGACAGCGGGGAGTATCTGACAGGAAGAGCTCCACCTGTTTCAAATAATATCTGGCTGTCTAGTTTCACTCTGCCTGCCTCAAGAAAGGTGATGGCTACAGAGCGAGGCCATCACCACCGTGGAAAGCAGGAGTCTGTCCAAGGAACATCGCACGTGAAACCCCTGAGCCTCCAGGAGTCACGCCTTTTCATTCTTTGAGTTGCTTTCTGCAGCCTTGTTGTGCCCGCGAGCAATAGTCCTTGCCAGGAGCAGCTTCACAAGACTGCAAAGAGTTGGGACACACACACACACACACTTCTATTCTTATTACCTAAATTGTTTAATATTTAGATTTAAATATCTGAACATGAACAAACCGCATAACACCAGAATGTCCATGTATGTCCTCGTTTTTATTAAAACATTGAAAATATTACATTAAAATGTAAAAGGATTCACAATGATTCAATCAACTGAAGATTCTGGAAAACTCAAGAAAGGCTGAAGATGACACGGCCTGCTATCTGACACATAAAAACTACACACACTTTAGGGAGATTAAGAACAGCATAATGAAAACTGTGTCTCAGCATGTCTCTTTTCCAGCTGGAACAATGTCCACCATTGTCTGCTTATGCTCTCAAGGTGGTTTCCGCCTGTTAACCTGGGCAGTCTGTCCAGGTCTTTCCTGGTAATTCAATAGTCAAACAGGGAGCACATTCTCTCGTACAGGGCTCTTAATCTGCTTCCACTTGAGTTTTTGCTTGTTTCCAGTGTTACGTGATCCAATGTTTTATGATCAATCAGCCACAATGTCACTATCAAGGAGCATTAGAACCAGAACCCAGTCCTGGCAGTCAGTGTCCACCCCCCCTGCAGGAGGCACAGGGCGTTATTTCCTCCCCATTATGAAGCTCGGAGCCTCGGCATCATCATCAGCCTCTCTTTCCTCCTCCTTTCCCTCCTCCTCCTCCTCACTGCTGTCCGAGCTCTTGTCGGACTCTTCCTCGTTTTTGTTTTTGGCCTCTACCTTTGCCTTCTTTGCCATCAGCTTCTTCTTCCTCAGCTTCTCCCGCTTCTTCCTGCGCTTCGCGGTTCTCTCCTCGGCTGCCCGTTTGTTTTGCTCCACCTTGTCCAGGTAGTCCAGGTCCTCGTTCTGCTTCTCCGACATCTTGTCCAGGAAGTCCTGCCTCTGGTACTCTCTGCGTCGGAGGTGTCTGTAAACATGGAACTCCCCGCTGCCGGCCCCGGCGCTGGAGCCCATCACATCCCGGACGAACTCCGGCGGAGCCCGCGGGTTCCACTCCTTGGGCCGGTCCGGGATGGGAGCGGGTTTATCCGGGTTCCGCATCAACCTCTCCAGCTTCAGACGCTGTTCCTCCGCCGGGGTTTTGGCGATAATCAGAGGCTGAGTGTCTTTTCCTCCAGGTTTCCCTGGCTTGTTATTCTTCTGCATGTGCGCCGCCATCTTTCAGACCGTCGTTGTCTTTTTCCTCTTCGCTGCGGTCGCCCCGGAAGTTCTTCAGGGCTTCTGTAACCCGGAAGTAATTATCTTACATGTTTTAATCCTTTTATATTTTTTAAAAACATACAACATTGATTACGTGTGTGTCAGTGGCTGTGATAATATTGATTTGTTTTTTAATAAATGGTCACTTTAAGAAGTGTAACTTGTGTAACTGCTGTAATTGACACGGGCCGTCGACCAATGGTGAACCACATTAGAAACCGTTGAGACGCAGCTGTCCAATCAACGCTCAGGTCCCGCCCCTCGTCGCGAGCCTAAAGTGTGTTGACGGACTGGTTTTAACTCCAGCTTGTTCAGACGCAGGCTAGTGAGTTTCTACGTTTCTTCTCCTCACACAACGACCGAGCTTACCAAACACCATGAACACTTTAATCAGGTCTACTGCGAGCTGCCTGCGGTCCGGGGCGGCGCTCTATCTGCCCACACAGGCCGGCGGACGCGTGTGGTCGGCCCCGGCCCGGTTCCTGTGCTCGGCGGCGGACCGCCAGAAAGACCTTGGTGAGATGGTGAAGAAGGACAAAGTGGTGGTGTTCATGAAGGGGACGCCGGCACAGCCCATGTGCGGCTTCAGTAACGCCGTGGTTCAGATCCTGCGGATGCATGGGGTGGAAGAATATGCTGCGTACAACGTGCTGGAGGACCAGGAGCTCAGACAAGGTCAGGAAACCGAGATAAGCGTTTCATGACATGACAGCAACAAGTTGTGAGCTCTTAGTTGAACGGACCTTTCCCTCAGTGACAGTGGAGGGGTTCAGTTTGCTTCCCCGGCACATTCAAACCTACACTATATCAGCCTTTGGTTGGTGTTGGGTTTTTATCAGTGCTCTGCAGCAGGACCACAGGGTGGGGCCCCTTTTTAAAGTCAAACATCACACCATCAGTAGGGACATGTCTGTGTGTAGCTTGTTCATTTTCTCTTTTGTTAGTGTTTGTTTTTATCAGTTAAGGAACAAGGAAATGCCTTTTTGGAGTTGCATCAGCACTGCCCTTTAATGGGATTTTGTCAATTTGGGGCTTAAGTAGCAACAGCAGTGTAATGCCAAGTCATGCTGAAAGGGCCAACCTGACTCATACCTTTAATTCACCCAGAATCCAATTGATGGGGGGTTTAATTTGGGACAGGGTGTGATATTCAGGTTAAAGAACAACAGATAAAGGTCTGAATACAAGTATTTGACTTGATTAGACATAAAGTAGTTGACACGGAGAATGAGATGAACCGGTTGAACACGCAAGAGTCCCACAATGCACTGTTGTAGTGCTTCTGCTGGTGCATGTGCTGCATTTACCCAGTGTCTGAACAGGAAACCTGGTAGTGGTCACATGTTACTGTACGGTGGTGTGAAGATTGTATTTACAACCAGATAAATAGCCAATATTAGCTGCTTGTGTTGGGTGTTTGTAGCAGTTCAATACAAGTGTGTGTGTGTATAGTGTAGAGCTCCTATTAAGTTCGCTGAATCGACTGTATTAGTGTTAATATTGGATTTTATATTGCTGTAACAGCCAGTGCTGGTGGATTTGCAGCCATTATTCAAAGTGGGAGACATTGTACGTGTCAAACCTTCCTGATATCTCTATCTGTCTATCTGAATGACAATTTGAAGGCCGCATTTTCCCCATTCGCCTGCTTGTAATTACGTATTCAATGGACCGGGACAAAAACATGTTTTGTATATTGCCTGGTGACACAAAATAATAACAATTTGAGTCTCATTGTTTCTGTTATTTCCCAGAACCCGGGTCTAAAGGGTCAGATAGACAGGATGTTAACTGTAAAATTGCCAAAAGATAAAAATAGTCTGAATGTCAAATGGCTAATTGTTTAGTGTAGTGCTGTCACTGCTGTAACTACAGTAGTATAAAACATTGAGAAGCTTTTCAGAGCTCTTAAAGTTGGAGTTCTTCCAACTGTTTAAACGGGTTAAACAGTACTCCTCATGACTTCTTCATGTATAAAACCAGCAGTGCTCCCCATCCACCATCATTGTTTTATCAACATTAGGTCTCCCTGCACACTTTAGTTGGGTAATCTAACTGTACAAGCTCTTAAAAGCACTTTAACACACATTGGCAGCACTCAAACATTATCCTTTACATTTGGATACTAATACTTTATTTATGATATCAGTCCAAAGTGACTAACTGAACATATGAATACAAAAAATAGTACTGATCCAGTGTAATGCTGAGCTATATAAACACACACACACACACACGTTGCTGCGGAGGTTTAAGGGTTAAACACAGTTGGTGGTGGTTGTTGGATTAGTCACTGATGTGGTTTGAGTTTCGGTTCCTGAGGCCCCCCAGCAGGACGTGTAACTGGTTTTAAACTGAAATGGACTTCCATTACATTGTCATAAGTTAATACTCCTCCCAGGTTTCTCTGGGTCACCTGATTCAGTATTGGTTTTAGTTTACCTCTGACTCAGACGCCATCTGCCTTCCACAGGAGTCAAGGACTTCTCCAACTGGCCCACGATCCCTCAGGTGTACTTCAACGGCGAGTTTGTCGGAGGCTGCGACATCCTGCTCCAGATGCACCAGAATGGAGACCTGGTGGAGGAGTTGAGCAAGCTGGGCATCAGCTCTGCACTGCTGAACGCTGAAAAAGAATCCAAGTAGAGGAAGAGGACGAACTTCAAACAGCTGACAAGACAGAGGACACATTTATCAGGTTGATTCCCCCCTCCCCCCCGCTCAGATGATCGCAGATAAATCAACTCTATAGGCAGCCATGGGCAACACCGACCCACCTTCTGGCCAATACGTCAGAGCAGATATGTGACAGGTGTAAGCAGCTTTAGTGGCAGCACTGTATCTTGAGTCATGACTATTTCTGTTTAATCATGTTCCATATCTATAAACAGAGCAAACGGAGCTCCTGCTGCACTCCTTCTACTAGATTCAGGTCCTCTAAGTTTGCACAGATCATGTATCTGCCTTTTAATAAACAAAAATAACAAAAGAGACAGTGTCTTTACAGATCCAAAATACCCATATTTCTCATCTTCTCTTCATAGCTGCAGGGGGGGGGCTGTGGGGGGGTCAGTGGGGACAACACAATGCTTTAAAACCTTTTTAAAGTTGATTCTGTTAGCAACATTAGCGTTCATTTGGAGCTGCGTTTCTGGTCACCTGATGGATATAATAGAACATTTACTCTCCTTCCAGCTCCCTTTTGATTTCCATCAGCTTCTGAGAAAAAAATGCTCCACTGTGTCTACAATCTAGTTGCTAACTTTCTCTGTCTGCCATTTGGTGCTGGGCAGGTTAGCGTACACTGTGGTCATCAAAGGTTTTTGCTGACAGCTGCCTCCTGTAGCCAAAAAACAAGTGAAAATGAACTGATAGATGCAACCAAGCTGTATATTACTGAGGGAAACTGCAGTCCGGTATTTAACCTCTTTCACATTACACATTGATCCACTGATTACAGCAGCTTTAATATTTCCCTGTCACTCAAGGAAAAACTTTGATATTTGACCCCTATCTCCTACATTTTAAATACTTTTCTATCACATCTTGATTAACCAAGTTAAATACTCTAATTAAAAAAAAAAAAAAGGAAAAAAAAAAAAAACAGTCCACACCAGCATGGTTGTTGAAATCAGGCTACATGTGATAAATACAGTAATGAACGTCTGACAACACTTCACATCGAGGTTGGACTTCCACTGCCAGAGGGAGACTGTAGGTTCCCTCCCTGTGTTTTAATTTACCTCTACTGTCCACCTTCTGTCCCCCAGCCACAGTCTGTGTAAGACCAAATGAGCCTCAGGGTGCACCAAGACTAGGTTCAGATCTTTACAACGCTGCTTGGGTCGCACAAGGAAAAGATGTCATCATACTGGAAACCTTCCAAATGCACTGCCTGTGACTACTAGAGGGAAGAACAAAGAGGGGACAGGGCTGATGTATATGTTAGGAGTTAATAGATGTTTAATATCTGGCTAATTACATCTGTTACAAATGTCCTTTTGGAGTGGAGGTGACTGAAGACATGCACCTTGCCTCACAGACGTCGGTACACTACACCATGTCCCCTACTTGTTCTTCCTGCCAGGAACCACGTTGTGTACGTGTCCGCTCTGTTCGATTGTCGACACCCGCTGAAACGCAACAAACACACCGGGATACCTTTTTCTCTTTTTCTTGAACGACTCATTTACAGCACATTTGGACAGCAGTTATATTAAAAGGTCTGTTGCATTTGTCCAAGTCTGTAGTATTTGTTCATTTGTCACTGAAGAAAAAGTGGTTTTATTTTTATTTTGAGGGGTGGGCAGTTTATTTGCTGGTTTTTGAGTTTTCACTGAGCCCCTGATATGTATCAATCCTAGATGTTCTTCCTGCTGCACGCAGTTGTATTATCAAAGCAATGGTCATGAGGTACACTGTAAGATATTGTACATTGAAAGCATATTATTAAATGTATTTTAGCTGCATGTAAACCCTGCGCCAATTAAATATTTTGTGACACAAACAACAAGCGACCTGGAGTTTTCTTTTTTTGTATTACCATCAGAATGCGGGGACATAAGTCACCGTTTCCAAGAGCCCACGGTGCCAGATGTCTTATTTTACTATCATGTACGACAAGTAAATCTTCATGTTTATCGTGCTGGAACATTTCTGCTTGAAAAGTGTGTTGAACAACTAATTAACCTTGCTGATTAATTTGACTTCAATCGACAGTACAGTGTTTCCTAGCTGTACTGTGCTTGACCAAGGTTTATGGTTATTGTTGAGGAAAGGGATCTCTT